GGTCACAGAGCTCATCTGTGACCTGCATAATGACACGGTGAAAACGGCCAGTTTTCACAAGGATAAACTTCATTCTTCAGTTCAATTCTAACATAAACAGCTGGCTTCTACTTCTCCCTCTACCTGGACACTCTCACCACTGAAGTTCAGGCTTTTCCACTTACTGAAATGTCCCACTAGAGTTTGAATTACCTAAAGCATGAGGTTGCTAAATCCTTTCTGAGGTTAAAATATTGCTCACCTGGCTTTCCCTCTATTCTGCTATTTAGAACGAAAATGATAACTTGGCCTCTGCTTTGAATTTTTTCAGGTTGATCTTGACACCACAAGTCTACCGTTTATAGGTTTTAGGTAGCTAGAAGGCACCTCTGCCCTGCAAATGCCAGGGACCCATCCTGTGAAATCCCAGGTCAGTTCCTTAGCCGCCTAAGACTCTCGTTTCTGTGTCTTACGAGTGCATAGGACTAGCACAGAGTGCTACTGCTGCCACTAAATATCATCTCTCGTTAGCATTTCCGGGGTGCTCAGAGAGAAAACAATGTCTGGGTGATGACTCTTGTCAGTTTCCCCATTGTCAAACCCCATCTCACGTTCCTCCACACTCACAATATTTCCCCATTGGGAACATGCCTGACATTGCAATTTCTCAAAACTGCAGCTCTGCAGTGAATGCCTAATTCCTGAAACTGCAAAATCTAACAAAAGCGGATTTTTTCCACTGATTTGACTGGCTGACTATTTCAAGGCTTTGCATGTGATGACCTGCTGCTCTCCACAAACAACGTCTTTAATGCACCCACATGGTTGCTCTGAAGTGGCCGAGGGCAATTACAGCCTCGCCAGCTGCCTAGGGGGCATTGGGAATTACTCACAAGGTCCAGCGTTTCTGCCGCAGACACGATTTCCCCACAAGTCACGCTTAGCAACTTGCCAGGCGGCATTCTGTGGCTTGATTTTGAACTCAGAACCCATTTTCCACCACAGTGCCCCCATGTCACCCAGGGTAAGCTGTGGACAGGTCATTCACTCAGAGCTGCTTGTTTTGTGCTGTTTTTAAAAACTGCGTTGTTCTTTGTTTTTGTTTGAGTGTTGGTGTTTCATATCGGCGGATAAAAAGTAATTTAGACGAAAATACGTCAATTCTGTTCTTTTTATTTTTACTATCAAAATAGAGGATCATTTTCTGTCTTTGGATCTATCACTTGCTTGGGTTCTTCATGCGTTTTTCATGTGAAAACTCTTGCTGTTGTACTTTCAGCACAAATTTCCAGCTTGGCTGCTAAGGAAGATTCATTCATCTGCTTTCTTCCCTTGCCCCCTGACCTCCCTCTCCTCTTCACCCACTCTCGGTTTTCACTCCTTTCCCGGGGAGCCGCGGCTTTCCCTCTGCGATGAAAAACACCACGCGCACCGCCGGGTGGAGAAGGCGGTGTAGTGACAAACAGCATTGATATTTTATACCCCGATTCTGCGTCACACACGCCCCCCAGAAATAGATCCAGGGCTGCGAAGAAGCTCGGATAAGGCGAAGATTCCTGGAGAGCCTGGGGACGCAGGTCCGGGAGAGGAGCCAGGCCTTCCTGTGATTTTTTGTTTCTTATGGAAATTAAGAAATAGTTTCTAAATCAGAGCCTCTGGGGCAGAGAGCGCAGGCAGCTTTCTCCCCAGTCTTCCCTCCAGAGGAGCAGCCGAAGCGACCCCGGGAAATGGAAAAGGCAGGTGTTTCTGAAGGAGATGGAGTCCTGGGGGCAGCCAGTCACGCCCTGCAGGCCCCAGTCCGCGCCCGGCTAGCTGGTGTGCGCCCCCCTCGGCGTCCGTCCCCGAGGACGCTGCGGGCCTGGGGCGCTGTGGCCGCGTCCCCTCCCCCTCCCCGCTCTCACCCCGGACTCGGCCGGTACCCGGCCTCTCCTCCCCCTCCCTCCGCGCCCACCTGTTGCCGTCCGGCCCGAGACGTGCTCGTTCCGCCGGCTGAGTGTAAAAGGGTTTGACTTGCGGCCGACCCCGGGTCAGCACTTTCTCTCCACTAATCCTGCTCTCCTTCTACACAAAACCCTCGGCCCCATCCCTCGCATCACTCATCTTAATCTCCACCCGCCCCCCGCCGGCGGCTGACACCGGCGCGGGCCGGAAGGAGATGGGCTCCCAGGGCGCCCGGGGACCCCTGCGCCCTCCCGCCCGGAGCCTGCGGGGACGCGGCCGAGGCAATGAGGGGATTAGTAGGGGGAGCGCAGGCCGCCCCCAGACTCCTGCCCCATCCCGCCCCGAGCCTCCGACTGGGCGCCCAGGGGCCGGAGAGGGACGGAGAGGGGAGCCGCGCGCGGGCCTCGGCGGGGGAGCTTCAAAGACAAAGAGGAGGCCGGGCCGCGCTGAGAGAGGCCGGCGGCGGAGACGCAGCTCGGTGCGGGAGTCAAAGGGCGGTGGAGACGGCGCAGGGACTGGAGAGGCAGTGGGAGTGGATGGCGGGGGCGGGGAGGGAACGCAGTGTGCCCAGACCCGAAGGACAGCGGCGCGGTGTGCGGGGCTCAGCCGCGGGCAGAGCCGGAGAAAGGGCGACTTGGAGAGGCGCAGGCAGGGGGGTACGCCCGGGAGGCCCGAGGTCCCGAGGAGGCCCGGCCACCCCCGCCCGGAGGGGACACGTCGGGACCAGCAGCCGACGCCGATCGGCTCCCGGGGGCGGGAGGAGCGTGGTCCTGGCGGGCGCGCAGCTGGAGAGGAAGGGCCGGGGAGGGAGGAGAGAGAGAGGGAGGGAAGAACTGGGGAGGCGGGGAGGAAGCGAGAGGAGAGCTCGCCCTCAGGCCAGGGGAGGTGGTCCCAAAGCCCGGCTGGGGCGGGAGCAGAGGACTGGGTGAGGGGATCCCTGCGTCCCCACCTCCCGGCCTGGGCCTCCACGCAAGCCCCCCCCGCCGGCCATCGCTCGGTCCTGACGCTGCCCCATCCTGCAGGATTCGGGGGGCACCCGGTCCCCCAGTCCCTGCCACGGGGCCCGCACCCCGCTCACTCCTCCCCATCTGGCCTGGCCTTTCAATCTCGCCAGATAGTCACGCTGGAAAGAGCCGCGCCAAGGCCAAGTCTGCTTTTCACTTGACGTTTCCAAGGAAGGACTCAGCCCTGGGGTTAAATTCTGCCGCCAAGCCTCCGGAGCCGCTGCCCCTGGGCTCAGGCAGAGTGTGGATGGGGCGGGGGCGGGAGTCGGCCGGAGGCAGACGGGGTCGAGGGGGCGCTGGAGCCCCGGCCGGCCTGGAGTGCGCCTTCGGGGGCACACGTCCCGGGATGGATTTCTTGAATTAACTGGAATTTTCCGGAGACAGAAATCTGCAGTGCCCAGTCTTTGCTGAGGGAATGAAACGCGGGAGCATGAGTGCCGTTCTCCCACACGCGTGATTTTAATAGACCTATCAGTCACGCTCCCGACGCGCATCTGCAGATCACGCTGTGCCCGAGTCTTCTTTAAAACTAATCCATCTAGTACGGATGGGTTTCTCCGGGGAAGGGAACGTCAAAATCTCAACAACAAAGGGGCGGGTGAGTTGAAAAACAAGGCCCAAACAAAACAAAACAAAAAAACCCTCAAGTAAACTCTCCTACCCTCAGTTTGAAGGGCAGGACCCGAGCGCAATGGCAGATTTACGAAGTTACACCGACGCCCCCGCACAAACTGATGCAAACTTTGCACCAGGCCTCAAAGACTCCTGTCCGCGTTCCCTACACGGGTTGCAAACATAATTGGACTAAGCGACAGAAGCACCACCCTGTGATTTGGGAAGTGAATGAAGTCGTCGTATAATATAATAACTATCATCATATAGTATTTCACTCCGTTAATACGATGAGTGTTACCTTGGCCAAGCACCGAATTCACAGTCGGCTCAGGGCCTACTGTAATCTTTTCTCCACTGATTTGAATTGGAGAGACACTGCTGGGGGCGGGGAAGGGGGGATAGAATCTCAATCCTGAAATGAATCTCAGCTAATTTCTTTGCCCCCCACCCTGTGATATTTTTAAATGGAGTCATTAAAAAATTTATATTTGCTTTTTTCCGCGTTGTTCTAATCAACAAAACAAGGAAATAAGGTGGTTGGAGCACCTGGCATTGGCTATTTCATCTGACTGTGTACCAAGCACCTGCAATAAAATGCCAAACGGTAAGAGCATCCTCCAGGGAGACAACAGGCGGCTTGCCTGGCGTCCCGGGCGCACTAACTCAACTTTTCATAGTCTGTGCCTGAAGAGTGGGGCCCGCATCCTAATCTTGAGCCAAGACCTACATGCCAGTAATTGGACACAGAAACTCCAGGGTACACACAGGGGAGCACAGGGGCCAGACTGAGAGTGGACGTCAGTCAAAAGAACCTCAGAGAGAGTCCTTTAAGTCTGTATATTTCAGAGAAAACCCTCAAAGTCCCATTGGGCCCTCAAGGTTCCAGTGAGTTAACAGAACAAGATGATTAGAATTTCCCAAATCATCTCCCGGAGGGGCTTGGGGAGGCCCTTATCCCAGACTAAGTCGTAGTGGTGCTCAGCCATCCATGGGCACACAGACACTTCCAGAAACAACTGCTTCATAAAGGATCAAATAGTTAAAAGAAATAAAAATAAAGAAAAAGGAAAGAGGGGGGGTTTTATTATCTTGTTAGAAAGCAGTGGACATCATTCTTGAACCTTTTTGTAATCACTTTAACGAATGAGTGGTTTAAGCAAAATTATCAAAATGACTCCCCAAAATTACACATGTCAATAGTCAGATTAGCATTATACTTAAAGCTATTCTCGAATGCAGGCTGAATTCGGTTCTCATTAAACTTATAGTATAGGCTCACTTTTGGACGGACAGTCCATACTCACTCCAGGACAAGGAAAGGTGTTGAGAAAATGAGGGGGAAGCCTAAGGCTGCTGAAATCAACGTATTTCCATCTGGGCTTAAAGTGTTTTTTTTTTTTTTCTAAAAATATAATTTCATCTTAATGTTGTGATTAATTTTTAAATGTATTTGCTACAGTATAATTTTTAAATGCAATATTTAATGCTGTCAGATTACTTGAAGACAAAGTTTTACAGAAAACTTTAAATTTCAGAAAAAAAACTGCAATGTACCAATAAACACCTAGAAAATAATATAATTAAAAAATTTAAAGCATCAAACAACCTCAAGATCTCGTCAGGAATAATGAACAAGGCATTTTGCGTTCACATCGGCTAGCAATTTGCATCCCAGTTCACGCGGGGGAGGGTGATGGTCGATATTTCTCTCTGTGTGTGAGAATCCAGCACAATTATTTTGCCCGTTTTCCCAAGAGAAAGAAACCAGAGGGAGGGGCAGAGGATGGACGGAGGGGGCTCGGCTGCAGTACGTTTTGGTTCAGCGATTGTGTTTCCTTGAAACACATTTAGATAAATTCTGCTCGAAATCTTTATTGCTAGGGAATTGGGAAACCCGTGACCTGCTCTGGTCTTTGTCCCTCATCCATGGCCTGGTCCCGGGTCCCGCCACTGGGGTCTTCTCTTCCTCCTCCCTCCTCTGGACCAAAGTGGCGCAGACGCCCAGTCAGGTGGAAGGCGTCCCGCTTGCAGCAAGGTAGCTCAGCAGCCCCAGCCGCCCGCAGTGAAACAGCCGGAGCAAAAGATACTTTTATTTCTCGGCCCGTATTAACACTTCAGCTCTACAAAATAACCTATAGGTTTTAACTTCCTTCTCTTCCATTGAAAAAGGTTCCTTGAAAATCCTGTCCTCCCATTCCCCGGGGCTCCCTTACTTTTAGTTCATACAGATAATTTCCCTTTCAGATTTCCTCATTGCATTTTGAACTCATAAAACATGCACATACAAATAGCATGTTTCAAATTTATGGGGAAAATGGGCTCTGTCTCTTAAAATTGTTTACTCAAAACATTTTGGGTGGGGGGTCTTTTTTCGTTTTAAGAAGAAAGGCTTTTTAGGAAACTATGTACATAATCTGAATTCTCCTCCCCGCATCACAACGCCGAAAATAAAATTTTCACAATGCATTTACAAGAAATAATACAAAATCAAAAAAAAAAAAAAGGAAATGCTCAGATACAGAAAGTTTTACAAAACCCAGAATATAACTCCGCCGTCTGAAGGAGGGGGTGGTGGTGGTAATCTCTTTGTATAAATTAACAAACCAACCCAAAAGAGCGGTAACAACTACAAAAAACTTGTAAGTGCTTGGACCTGCCTTACTACATTTATAACAAACGCGACGAGCTCCGCGTCACTTGGGCTCGGGCGGTCGGCGCCGTCCGGAAGCAACGCAGGGGAAAGTGAGCGCGCCGGCCGGTATACAAAAGTGGGCTTCGCCTCTCGCCTCGTTTTGACTTTTTTGTCCCCTCGAGCAAAGAAAACGCTTTCCGCCTCCTCCGTAGGTGATAAATACTGTACAAAAAGTCTCAAGAAAACACTGAAGTTCAGTCTAAAACGCAAGTCTGGTGTCAGCGCCCGGCGGTCACCAGGGGCTCCTGGGAATGTGAGTGGGGGACACGCGTCACCCGGCGTTCGTCTCCAGTGTTTTCCTTTTGACAAGAACATGGAAACGTCTGTACAAAAGCCAGGCCGCGCCGGGGCGGGGCGGGAGCCGGCCGCAGGCCGCAAGCTCGTGGGTCGCCGCCGCAGAGTCCCCGGCGTCGCGAAGGCGCTAGATGTGCGTCAGGGGCACCGTACCATTCACGCCCGCGCCCGCGCCCTGGTAGTGCTGCGGCAGCGAGTGCAGCCGGCTCTGCGCTGCGGCCGCCGCTGCCGCCGCCGGGTCGCCCCCCTCGCCGGCGGGCAAGTACATGCTGATCATCTCGCGCAGGTCCCCGGGGCACGGCGCCCGCGAGTGCGCTGGGGCGGGCGGGCTGCCGCTAGGCTCCGATTTGACCAGAGAGCCCAGCGCGCCCAGGGCGCCCGACGACGCGGCCGCCGCCGCCGCCGCCACGGCCGAGTTCTGGTGCGCCCCGCCCGCAGCGGCGGCGGCGGCGGCCGCGGCGCCGTAGGGGAGGCCGCCGTAGCCCGAGGGCGACGCGCTCATGTAGCCCTGCGAGTTGGAAATGGGGCTGTACTGCAGCGCGCCCATGTCGTAGCGGTGCATGGGCTGCGGGTTGTGCGGGTGCGCGTGCGGGTGGTGCGGATGCGGGTGCGCGGGGTGCGCGTGCGGGTGCGCGCCGCCCGCGCCCGGGTGCTGCCCGTAGGCCAGCTGCGCCTCCTGCATCATGGCCGCGGCCGCCGCCGCCGCAGCCACCGAGCCGGGGTAGGCGCCGTTGGCCCAGCCGTTGACGTGCGCGTAGCCGCCGCCCGCCGCGCCGCCCGGGCTCTCCAGGCGCTGGCCCACGGTCGCCGCCCCCACGCCCACGCCCATGGCCACCGCCGCGCCGCCGCCGCCCGCGCCGGCCGCCAGGAGCCCGCCGGCCAACGAGTACTTGTCCTTCTTGAGCAGCGTCTTGGTCTTGCGGCGCGGCCGGTACTTGTAATCCGGGTGCTCCTTCATGTGCAGCGCGCGCAGCCGCTTGGCCTCGTCGATGAACGGCCGCTTCTCGGCCTCGGACATGACCTTCCACTCGGCCCCCAGGCGTTTGCTGATCTCCGAGTTGTGCATCTTGGGGTTCTCCTGGGCCATCTTGCGCCGCTGCCCGCGGGACCACACCATGAAGGCATTCATGGGCCGCTTGACCCGATCCTGGTTGGCCTTGGCGCCCCCGCCGCCCCCGCCTCCGCCCCCGCCGCCGCCGCCGCCCGCCCCGGCGGGGCCCGAGAGGTTCGTGGGGGCCTGGGCGCCGCCGGGCGAGTGCAGGTCGGTCTCCATCATCATGCTGTACATCGGGGCGGCTGGTGGGTTCACCGGCACCGCGAGGAGAGGGCCTGGAGCATAGACGGTCGGGTTTGGGGGGAGACGGAGAGGAGTTCAGACGGAGCGAGACGGGGGCGGGGGTGTCCTAGCGGAGAGAAGAATGGGGAGGGGTGGAGGCAACGACAACAAAAAGAGGCAGAAACACACGCACTCGGCGCCGGTTCGGCTCGCAGGTGGAAAGTTTCTCCTGATGCACAAATCACTTGCCAAAGAGGCTGACGGTCCGGGTCGCCGTCTTCGCCGCCACCGCAGCCCGGGCGCCCTTGGCGGAGCGGTGCAAACAGGTGCAGTCGTGGCCAAGTTGCGGCTCCGCTTTTGGGGCCGGGAGCAGTGCGCTGGGCCCGGCCCGGGGTGTGCTGTCTCCTCCTCGCGGGCCGCCGCCGTGCGCTGTCTCCTTCCTCCTGCGCTCGGTCCTCAGCGGCCTCCAACTCGGGGGCTGCAACTTCTAGCAGGGCGGCGCGCCGCGTGCGCTGGGCATGTGCTGGTCCCAGGTGCCCGGGGGGAGCCAGGCTCCGGTTGGGGGGGGGAGGAGGCCCAGGGGGGCCCGGAGGGGGCGATTACGGTGCAGCCAGGGAGGGGCCCGGGGACAGCAGGAGGAGCGCGGGCTCGTGGAGAGGGCCGGAGAGCCGGGGCCGCCGAGCCCGGGATGGGCTGCCGGCTGCCTGCCCGGGGCCGTGCGCTCGGAGCGGAGGCGCACGCGGGGCCGGCGGCGCGCGGGGCCCAGCAGCCATACGCCGGGCCCGGGCTGCCATTAAATGAGCGCGCCGTGGCCAATGGGAGCCGGCGGCGGCGGTGATTTGCATGGCGCGCTGGCGAGTGACGTGGGGAGGGAGTAGATACACTGGGCGCGGGCGGCGGAGCGGGGAGGAGGGGAGGAAGGAGGGGGAGCAAAGCAGGAAGGAGGGGGGAGGAAGCCCGGGAGGGGGTGACAGCCACACCGCTTCCTGAGCGCGCGCGCGGCGGTGGCGGCGGCAGCGGTGGCGGCGGCGAACCCCAAGCTCGCCCTCCTCGCCGCTCCCCGCCCGCGCGCTCCGAGTGATTAACGATTGGGTTGAAAAGCAAAGACTAAGAAAGGATCGTCGGGGATAGGGGGAGGAAACGCAGCCCCGGGCCAGGTTTAAACAGGCGCAGTGGAGACCCAGCGCCTCCTCTGCCCCCGCCGGCCAACTCTGTGCCTGCAGGGAAGGGGAAAGTTGAGTGCGGGGCTGGCACGTCGCCCTCAGTTCACCCGAGTGCTGAAAAGGAGGGGCGCTCCCTTGGACGCAGAGGAGACCCTCCGAGGGCCCCTGCAGGTTCTTCTGCAAGGATCAGGCGGCTCAGCCACCCCCCGCCCCGCATCGGCTCTTGGCCGCGGTGTGCACTGAAGTTCGCCAGTGCCCGCTCTCGCAGCAAAGGCCTTCGCAGTCCAGGCCCCACAATTCGGGTGAAGGGGGCGTATTTGTGTGGGCATGGCTCCATTGCTTCGTTTAGTATCAGCCCTAAACTTTTGGGGGGAGGAGTCTTTTAATGAGGCCGGGGCCATAGTCACGCAGTCTTCCCAACCCGGATCTTCTTCCTCTGGAAAAGGAATTTCTAGGAAGGCCGAACACAAGATCTATCTGGAATCTAGTTCCTGAACAACAGTTGAAAAAGTTTGTTGAATGGCAAAATAATGATCTGGCCCAGGCTTTTCTGGAGTGAATCTCCCACGAGCTGGTTGCCTAAGAACGGAGAAAACTGCGTGAACTGCGCGGGGCCACCTAAACCGAATGAAAGGCGGGGCCTCAGGACCAGGTCACAGTCGCCGGTCTGCATCATGCAAAGGAAAGGCCTGGCTCGTGGAAAGAGTAAGGCATTCACCTGTGGTTATCATTCTTAAACCTCAAAGTGGCTTTGATTTGGGAACGTGAAAGAGATTTTCAAACTCAGTTTCAAGTATCATAGCGCTCACACTACCGTTTCCACCAGACTGATCTGAAAGTGGTCCAAAGACTTCTTTTGAGCCCAAGTATTCCTCCTCTGTCCTCACCGAGGCACCCTGAGATGAGAGTGCTTATGGAGATTGGTGGCGGGTAAAGTAGAACCTTCACCGCATGTCACGTGTCTGCCTGTCTTGTAGTAGGAATATTCAGTAAGGATGATGATAACCGTAATAGGAGTAATAGGATGTTTGAGTCTGTGGGGCAGCGAACACGTGACACCTTTTTTTTCCTCTTAAAAAAATTCTGAGGTTGTGAATTTCTTGACCCTGTTGCTTGTCCAAGGTAAAAGAATAATGCTTTATTTCCTCTCAATTGCTATGATTATTACTGTAGGGTTTGTTTTATTATTGCAGGGTTGCTACAGTGTGAAGTGCAACAGCAAATTGATCCCTCTGCAGATTAAACTGCTTTCATTCCAGGCCATTCAGCATTTAATAGTAAATTCATCAAATAATATATAATTATATTAGAAAGGGAACATCATTTGATTTTTATTTTTTCACTAAATATCTAGGTTATAAACTGGGTTTCCAACTACCTTCTTATTTCACCAGTCGAGTTTGTTAAATCTTTTGATTTGTTCCATGCACTACCTACAAATATCAGTTACATTGTGAATGAACAAAAAGGAGCAAGAATATTGTTTGGGAATGCTATAGCCCCATTTTTTTCTTTGATAATTTAGGAGGCAATGGGTGTGCAGTGAGATCCAGTGTGTTATGGAAAGTCAGCAAGACTGAAATAAAGGAAATGGTTTACAAATTATGAACTATATTATCCACTTAGCAGTTGAAAGATTTCTTTCCTCTGCTTTTCAATTTAGAGTTTAAACTAAATAGCTTAAGACTCCCTGAAAATGCTTTGTATGAATCAGGCTTGGCACATTATTTTCCATATCAATGGGGCAATTTATTTTATAAACACCCTGCACTCCAGTGTGCTTTGCAGGAATGCTTTATGCTTTGGGGAACTTGGATAGCTGACTTTGAAATGGTCTAGTTTTTTTCTACCATAGTCCGGAAAATTGTTTCCAAATACGACGTTACCCTTGTTGTTCAGAGCATCTAAATAGGAGGAAAATGGTTTAGCATCGTATGAGATCACACTAGTGCTCAACGTTCAGGCTGCTCTCCATAAGCCCTCTTCAGTGACGAGATGTTCCCTAGACCCAAAGCGGCTGCACACACTATGTGTGGCCACCTGCATAAGTATTAAACCAAAGCTGCAGGTGTAACTTGTTGCCAAGCAATAAATGATTGGCAGCAGCAGACAGTGCCAATTAGGCAGCACAGGGCACTGCATGCTAGACCTCTGTGCCTTCGTTCCTGGCATGAGGATTGACAAGCATCATATTAACTCCTGCTGGTGATCGATGGCTTCTGAAAGTCTCAATTTCTTGCTCCTTCTAACCTCTTTCCTCAGTGACTCTTTAAAAAGAGAGAAGACAGTCCAAAATCAGTTTGAAAAGCACCTCCTTCTCCTTTCCATCTCCAGCCAGGTTGGCAGGGACCTCCTTCAAGCCCAGTACTTTCCCAAAGGCTGGACTCCTGGAGATTTGAACACCGACTTCCCTATTCCCAAGGGTACTCTCACTGTTGATTGACCAAACCTGCTTTTTGGCAACTCAAAAACTTCATTGTGTCTCTTTGCTCAAAATGCCAAAGCGAAGATCAACTTAGAAATGTGGATAAATAAGGACACTTTCTATTGTTGTATGTAACCTGTGGTCATCATCTTCAAAGACAATCCGGAACCAAGCCATCTTTAGAAATTACACGCACACATATATGCCTGTATGTATGCGATAGATTAAGCCATTATGCAAGAACCCTCAGCTTTCAAATAAATTGAGTGCTGAGTGCTGGACTTTAACACCATTAGCTTAAACTGTCTCTATCGAGTAATTAGCACTTTTAGCTTTTGTCCCCCCTCCCTGCCCCCACCCCCAGCATGAAAGGGAGCTTTGAGGCATCCAGACGTGGATTTTCTGTGCCCAGTGTCAGTCCCGAGTCCCAAGCAAGGAGCACGATGGACAAGCTAGGAGTTCTGCAGGACAGTGAAAGAAGACAGAAACTGTGCCCTGTCTTTCGTGGTCCTGGTGAAGTCGACCTGTCCTGCTGACACCCTCCAGGGACACGTGGCCGCTCGACAACTGGTTGCCCTCCTGGGTTCAGCTCCTGCGGCTTCTGGGGCCAGGTGGAGGATTGAGGCCACGTGTAGGTGCCTCCCCAGAGGGCCGAGGCCACAGTTAAAAGAGGCAGATGAAGAGGAAGCCGCCAGTTTCCAGGCGGAGCTTTTGAAAGAGAAAAGAGTAGTCAGAAGGAGAGGAGGAGAAGGCGGCAAAGAAAGCGCGGGAGAGAGAAGAAAGAGCCATTCAAGTTGGAAGAGGCCTTCGAGGCCATCTCTGCCAACAGGAGGCGCGGAGTGAGGGCGAGGAGGGAGGGGAGCGCGACGGTGGGGACTGCGCGGGGGCGGGGCGGGGGTGCTGGGGACACCGCAGCGAGAGGGCGGGCGGAGAAGGCCGGGTTTCCTCCCGCGCGGAGCCACGGGGGGCGAAGAGGCATCGGGCCCGGCCGCGCGGCTCTGGCCTGAGACCCCGCGGCGCTCTGCTCTGGCCGTGCCGTGGCGCGCGCCTCGATCGCCGTCTGCTGGCCGCCGCCGCCCTCGCCGAGACACCGGGTCCCTCCGCTCTCTGCTGCCTCTGCGCCCCTCACCCGCTCTGGCAGTCAGAGGCCTTGTTTGAAGGCCTGGAGCGCGCTTTTGGGTGAGGACGCTCCAGGGCGCGCGGGTGATGGCCAGGGGGCTCTTGAGGAGTGCTCCTCTCTTTCGGGTCCCTGGGCGCCCTGAGTCCATCATCTGCGCCCTGGCCTGGGCTAACTTGCTTCCACTGTTCCCAAACAAAGCCGGAGAAGCCAAAGTAGCACAAAAGTTTTTGTTGTTGGTGGTTTGGTTTGGTTTTGAAGGAAGCAAAAAAATAATAACAACAGCCCAGGGAAAAGGGGTGTGTGGAAGGAGAACGGAAAGAGAGCCCTAGCCATCAGGGATAGCAGCAGAGCAGACCTC